TGACATTGACTTTTTGTAACATTATAAATATAGCATGATTTGGAGGTTCTCATTTAGCAGACATTGACACTTGACGAGTAGTCTGCCGAAATGCATAGTGTCTCTTTCTAGCTGTAAATAACGGTTCCTTTGAATTGTTGGGTTAGTGTTCTGGTTAAAACAGTTCTCTTAAGAACTATTACATTGTTATTATCACCATTCACCATGGTATTTGCTATTTTGAAATCCATCTTTAAGATTGTCACCACGACAAAGTCTCTGTTTCATTATTCAGAGAATAAAAATTCAGTAATGTGCGTGAAGTTAAAAATTAAAGGTTTGATGTTAAATGCAATAGGTGGTTCATATTAAGCTCCAAATGTAGAATGCAAATTAGAGGAAGATATTTTTTTAGTGCCAAAGATGAAATGGTACAGAAAATTTCATGAAGTGTGAGGATAGTTATTGGTTCTGACTTCAAAGGACATGTCGATGCAGGCAACCGAGGTGATGAGGAAATAATGAGCAGGTTTTGCGTTCACAATAAGAACATAGAAAGACAGTTGGTGGGGAAGTTTACAAAAATAATATAAATGGCTGTATTAAATAGATTTTTTCATAAGGGAGACGAACATCAGGTGAATGTAGTGGCAGATTAGCCATGGGCGTGTAGCTAGACAGCACAAAATAATAGTGTGCGCGATAGCTATAACTAAAAGGATGGTGAATTAGACAAAAGAAACGTCAGTCAACAACAACAAAAACAGTCCTTCTAAGGACTATACCACCCCGGACGACCTACATCTACAAACATGTAACGATACTCCCGGGTTCAAACCATTTACTCTAATATTAAATTTCTCGCCATGTTACATGTAGCTATGCAGATAGTCGTTTGTGCATCATTTAAATAGATTATTAAAACAAAAAATAATAATATCGTTATTAGAAAACAAATGACATCCCATTGTATATTGACAACTTGAATTATCACGTATGTTTACTGGCATTTCCTCATCCGGTAATTTTCCTGTTCTGACTTTAATATTTATGTAACTTAAAGCTTTAAAGTGCAAATTTTCGTGTGTTTTTCCTCCTTCACTTCCCAAAAAAATTTCTTTGACATATACGCTAGTTAACAGATCCTTGCTTATATCACACACTTAATGCTATTTTCATAGTCATTTTAGCGAATTGTTTGTTTGCTCGAAACTGTCCAGTTCAAAATCAGTACATTTATGACGATGCAATTGAATTTAGAAAGCGTTACATAAATTTCATTCAGTTAAAGTCTCATTCATACACATTAATCTATGATTTTGAGTCTGCTCAAATCAAACTCATATTGTTGCAAATTCACAAATCTTCAATCTAAAACACTTTTTTCTTGCCTTTAAAAATCTAATTCACCCGTCCATGCTTTCGTGTATTCTTAAAACCGCTAACAAATCTATTATTAAAACACGAACGACATCTTATAATACAGAAACCATCTCATTACTATTTTAAATTTGGAATTATACTTTATGGACAACCATTACTAAAGTTTACTATTCTTGCCATACAAAAATACACTGGAAATGATTGAAAATTGTATTTGGGTTAAAACCGTCTAATATTCATATATATGATAGCCGAAAGGAATAGGCATCAAATCAGGATACTCATCTCCATCATAACAGCTTTTATAATTTCTCCTTTGATCGTTTTCAGCGTCAAGTTTATCTAAAGTGATGTTATTTGCTTAAACCGTGCGATAAAAGGATGTCCAAGAAGCTGCTGTGCTAAGCATTGGTTAAGGCTCTCCAGATATAGACATCTATACAAATTCTATGATATTAAAAGGCAAAAGCTGTAAACTCTACGTCACTTTAATGCTTGTTTTCCGTCATGATCTTCATTTTTTCAAGTGGAAGCTTTGAGTCAATGTTTTCAAGCATGGCTATCATTGAATTAACATTACATATTCCGAGAACGGTTACTTTCCTTATGACATAGCAATTCAAATGTAAAGGTCAAAGTATAAAGTTTATTTTCAAAGATTATTGGAAATGTGAAAGTTTACGATAACGAAGGACAAACATACCTACTCATGAAGTATAAAGTGACAAAAAATATAAGGAATTAAATTTTAATTTCTTATGAAACAACAAAAAGTTTTGAGATTAACAATGTTTTTGTGAAAACGACGTCGTTCTCGCTATTCTTGGCTGTTTACTTGACAGTTGTTCCAAATGTTTATATAAACTCACTTTAAGCAGAAAATTTCTGTGACAATTACGAAAAAGCAAAAGATTTTCATGAACGAGCCATAGAAATTCAAACGAAAGCATTTGGACCTGACCATGTTAGTATAGCGACAACGTACAACAATCTGGGTCTGGTCTACTGTGACATGAGACGAACGAGCTTTAGAAATCCAGACAAAAGTTTTTGGTTGTAACCATGGTAACGCAGCTACAACGTAAAAACTGAGTTAAAATCAAAGACTTTAAAGCACATGTATATGTAGAAGCATCGCGTAGAACAGGAAAAACGTTTTATTTTGTCCTAAAACAGTAATTTTACATCGCAAAATAATTTTTTATATCTTTTGATGAGTTTGATAATATTGACTACAAATCGAAAGTATCTATCATGAATAAATACAATAACAATCACAGTGTGTATTATAGCAATCTAATCTTTAGCTTATTTAAATTCTAATGCAAATTTTAATTCCTCATTTACTGGCGTGAAGGTTGGCCATTAAGCGCATCTTCCAAGAAAACGTGCTAAAGTCTGATGTAAAGAATAAGTTCATCACCAGTAGAAGGTGTTGAAACGAACAAGAAATATCGTCCTCAAAAAAGGTAAGTTTTTATGATATGTAAAATTTAGAAATTTAAAATAATATTAATTTATTAGAATACAAAGTCGTCAGACATAATTTCACTGACATATAAAAATTAATGCATTACAAAGTGACAAACTTTGAGATTGCAAACGTGTTTCTAAATACGTCGTCCTCAAAAAATTAATTCGCTATAATTCAAAATCGCAACTCAAATAAAGCTGAGAGTTTAAACGAATAAATTAGTTTCTTTCGTTATTCACAAAGTTCGTTCAAAAAAATCTGTTAAAACAAAAGCATTGCATATACATACGGACCAAAACTATAGTTTGTTTCAACTTGAGAAATGTAAACTGCACTTTTATCTTAACAATGTGCATGAATTCCAAATCTGTTAAACCATTGAGGACATATATTTGCTTGCTCATAATGTATATAGTTAAGACGAGGAAGTGAGTCAGTGATATTACAGAAAGAATCAAATTGAGACACTAGATAGAGCGTGAGTTTGTAATAAATGTCTCTATCAACATAAATATAATTTTTATTTACAAGAGTTATAGACTAATTTAAAAAATGTTCACTTCAAAGGAAAACATTTTTAGTGTTTGTCGCCGTTCTCTTTTTATGCATGATTGGCTTAAATATGTAAACAATTTTTTAAGAACATTTTTACGAAAAATTAACGTTTATATGAAATTATATGAACAAAAATCACACGAGATTTAGATGATCCACAAAAGATGCAAAGTTTAGAGCAGCCTATATCTGCAAATATCGATTTGTTGGTTCGATTGCTCAAATTTTCTCAATTTCACATTACGTGTATGGTTACTGCTGTGTTAATTATTGCTGTGTCGCGGAATTTACTTTATAATCAAAACGTATGAATATAGAAGTACTGGAGAAAGACAACACGTTTTATATAGTTCTAACCAAGCATGCTATAATTTGCGCAATGCAAAATTAAAGTTCTTATATTTTTTTAATAATTTGCTCAAAAAACAGAACAAAAATGCATGAATAAAATTAAAAACATTAAGGATAATTAAATTCTTTTGCGCAGTTTAATTTGTCTCATTAATGTAAAGGTCAAAGTATAAAGTTTATTTTCAAAGATTATTGTGAAAGTGAAAGTTTAAGATAGCGATGGACAAACATACTAATCATGAAGTATAAAGTGACAAAAAATATATATAACAATATATTGTACATGTTTGTAAATGTAGATCGTCCAGGTTGGTATAGTCTTGAGAAGGACTGTTTTTGTTGTTGTTGACTGACGTTTCGACAACCTTAGCGGTAGTCATCTTCAGAGTCATCTTTTTGACACTGAAGATGACTACGGCTAAGGTTCTCGAAACGTCAATCAACAACAACAAAACAGTCTTTGGACTATACTAACCTGGACGATCTACATTCGCAAACATGTAACGATACTCCCGGGTTCAAACCATTTCATATATTGTACAATAAATAAATATCGTTGTACAAAAACGGTGAGTTATTGACGTTGTGGTCGTTTTTGCTTTTCTTGGCTGTTTACATGAAAGTTGTTTTAAATGTTATATAAACTCACTCTAGGCAGAAAATTTCCGTGACAATATTAGTTTATCTTTATTACTATAAAAACTGTTGTTTATTATATATCTTTCACGACAATTCGACATATAGGTCAACATTATTATTTATTACTGTGACATTGGAAATTACGATAAAGCAAAAGATTTTCATGAACGAGCGATAGAAATTCAAACGAAATCATTTGGACAAGACCATATTAGTATAGCGGTAACGTACAAAAATCTGGGTTTGGTCTATTGTGACATGAGACGAACGAGCTTTAGAAATCCAGACAAAAGTTTTTGGTTGTAACCATGGTAACACAGCTACAACGTAAAAACTGAGTTAAAATCAAAGACTTTAAAGCACATATATATATAAGAAGCATCGCGTCGAAAAGGAAAAACGTTTTATTTTGTCCTAAAACAGTAATTTTACATCGCAAACTAAATTTTTATATCTTTTGATGAGTTTGATAATATTGACTACAAATCGAAAGTAGCTATCATGAATAAATACAATAACAATCACAGTGTGTATTATGGCTTTAAATAGCAATCTATTTATTAGCTTATTAAATTCTATTGCGAATTTTAATTCCTCATTTACCGGCGTGAAGGTTGGCCATTAAGCACATCTACCAAGAAAACGTGCTAAAGTCTGACGTGAAGAATAAGTTCATCATCAGAAGAAGGGGTTGAAACGAACAAGAAATATCGTCTTCATAAAAGTAAGTTTTTATGATATGTAAAATTTGGAAATTTAAAATAATATTGATTTATTAAGACACAAAGTCGTCAGACATAATTTCACTGACATATGAAAATTGATGCATTACAAAGTGACAAACTTGGAGATTGCAAACGTGTTTCTAACTACGTCGTCCTCAAAAAATTAATTCGCTATAATTCAAAATCGCAACTCAAATAAAGCTGAGAGTTTCAACGAATAAATCAGTTTCTTTCGTTATTCATAAAGTTCGTTCAAAAAAATCTGTTAAAACATAAGCATTGCATATACATACGGACCAAAACTATAGTTTGTTTCAACTTGAGAAATGTAAACTGCACTTTTATCTTAACAATGTGTATGAATTCGAAATTTGTTAAACCATCGATGACATACATTTGCTTGCTCGTAATGTATATAGTTAAGACGAGGAAGTGAGTCAGTGATATTACACAAAGAAACAAATTGAGACACTAGATAGAGCGTGAGTTTGTAATAAATGTCTCTATCAACATAAATATAATTTTTATTTACAAGAGTTATAGACTAATTTAAAAAATGTTCACTTCAAAGGAAAACATTTTAGTGTTTGTCGCCGTTCTCTTTTATGCATGATTGGCTTAAATATGTAAACAATTTTTAAGAACATTTTACGAAAAATTAACGTTTATATGAAATGATATGGACAAAAATCACACGAGATTTAGATGATCCACAAAAGATGCAAAGTTTAGAGCAGCCTATATCTGCAAATATCGATTTGTTGGTTCGATTGCTCAAATTTTCTCAATTTTGCACATTACGTGTATGGTTACTGCTGTGTTAATTATTGCTGTGTCGCGGAATTTACTTTATAATCAAAACGTATGAATATAGAAGTACTGGAGAAGAGAAAAAACGTTTTATATAGTTCTAACCAAGCATGCTATAGTTTGGGCAATGCAAAATTAAAGTTCTTATATTTTTTTAATAATTTGGTCACAAAACAGAACAAAAATGCATAAATAAAATTAAAAACATTAAGGATAATTAAATTCTTTTGCGCAGTTTAATTTGTCTCATTAATGTAAAGGTCAAAGTATAAAGTTTATTTTCAAAGATTATTGTGAAAGTGAAAGTTTAAGATAGTGATGGACAAACATACTAATCATGAAGTATAAAGTGACAAAAAATATATATAACAATATATTGTACATGTTTGTAAATGTAGATCGTCCAGGTTGGTATAGTCTTGAGAAGGACTGTTTTTGTTGTTGTTGACTGACGTTTCGACAACCTTAGCGGTAGGTCAGAGTCATCTTTTTGACACTGAAGATGACTACGGCTAAGGTTCTCGAAACGTCAATCAACAACAACAAAAACAGTCTTTGTCAGGACTATACTAACCTGGACGATCTACATCACAAACATGTAACGATACTCCGGTTCAAACCATTTCATATATTGTACAATAAATAAATATCGTTGTACAAAACGGTGAGTTATTGACGTTGTGGTCGTTCTCGCTATTCTTGGCTGTTTACATGAAAGTTGTTTTAAATGTTATATAAACTCACTTTAGGCAGAAAATTTCCGTGACAATATTAGTTTATCTTTATTACTATAAAAACTGTTGTTTATTATATATCTTTCACGACAATTCGACATATAGGTCAACATTATTATTTATTACTGTGACATTGGAAATTACGATAAAGCAAAAGATTTTCATGAACGAGCGATAGAAATTCAAACGAAATCATTTGGACAAGACCATATTAGTATAGCGGTAACGTACAAAAATCTGGGTTTGGTCTATTGTGACATGAGACGAACGAGCTTTAGAAATCCAGACAAATTTTTGGTTGTAACCATGGTAACACAGCTACAACGTAAAAACTGAGTTAAAATCAAAGACTTTAAAGCACATGTATATATAAGAAGCATCGCGTCGAAAAGGAAAAACGTTTTATTTTGTCCTAAAACAGTAATTTTACATCGCAAACTAAATTTTTATATCTTTTGATGAGTTTGATAATATTGACTACAAATCGAAAGTAGCTATCATGAATAAATACAATAACAATCACAGTGTGTATTATGGCTTTAAATAGCAATCTATTTATTAGCTTATTAAATTCTATTGCGAATTTTAATTCCTCATTTACCGGCGTGAAGGTTGGCCATTAAGCACATCTACCAAGAAAACGTGCTAAAGTCTGACGTGAAGAATAAGTTCATCATCAGAAGAAGGGGTTGAAACGAACAAGAAATATCGTCTTCATAAAAGTAAGTTTTTATGATATGTAAAATTTGGAAATTTAAAATAATATTGATTTATTAAGACACAAAGTCGTCAGACATAATTTCACTGACATATGAAAATTGATGCATTACAAAGTGACAAACTTGGAGATTGCAAACGTGTTTCTAACTACGTCGTCCTCAAAAAATTAATTCGCTATAATTCAAAATCGCAACTCAAATAAAGCTGAGAGTTTCAACGAATAAATCAGTTTCTTTCGTTATTCATAAAGTTCGTTCAAAAAAATCTGTTAAAACATAAGCATTGCATATACATACGGACCAAAACTATAGTTTGTTTCAACTTGAGAAATGTAAACTGCACTTTTATCTTAACAATGTGTATGAATTCGAAATTTGTTAAACCATCGATGACATACATTTGCTTGCTCGTAATGTATATAGTTAAGACGAGGAAGTGAGTCAGTGATATTACACAAAGAAACAAATTGAGACACTAGATAGAGCGTGAGTTTGTAATAAATGTCTCTATCAACATAAATATAATTTTTATTTACAAGAGTTATAGACTAATTTAAAAATGTTCACTTCAAAGGAAAACATTTTAGTGTTTGTCGCCGTTCTCTTTTATGCATGATTGGCTTAAATATGTAAACAATTTTTAAGAACATTTTACGAAAAATTAACGTTTATATGAAATGATATGGACAAAAATCACACGAGATTTAGATGATCCACAAAAGATGCAAAGTTTAGAGCAGCCTATATCTGCAAATATCGATTTGTTGGTTCGATTGCTCAAATTTTCTCAATTTTGCACATTACGTGTATGGTTACTGCTGTGTTAATTATTGCTGTGTCGCGGAATTTACTTTATAATCAAAACGTATGAATATAGAAGTACTGGAGAAGAGAAAAAACGTTTTATATAGTTCTAACCAAGCATGCTATAGTTTGGGCAATGCAAAATTAAAGTTCTTATATTTTTTTAATAATTTGGTCACAAAACAGAACAAAAATGCATAAATAAAATTAAAAACATTAAGGATAATTAAATTCTTTTGCGCAGTTTAATTTGTCTCATTAATGTAAAGGTCAAAGTATAAAGTTTATTTTCAAAGATTATTGTGAAAGTGAAAGTTTAAGATAGTGATGGACAAACATACTAATCATGAAGTATAAAGTGACAAAAAATATATATAACAATATATTGTACATGTTTGTAAATGTAGATCGTCCAGGTTGGTATAGTCTTGAGAAGGACTGTTTTTGTTGTTGTTGACTGACGTTTCGACAACCTTAGCGGTAGTCATCTTCAGAGTCATCTTTTTGACACTGAAGATGACTACGGCTAAGGTTCTCGAAACGTCAATCAACAACAACAAAAACAGTCTTTGTCAGGACTATACTAACCTGGGCGATCTACATTCGCAAACATGTAACGATACTCCCGGGTTCAAACCATTTCATATATTGTACAATAAATAAATATCGTTGTACAAAACGGTGAGTTATTGACGTTGTGGTCGTTCTCGCTATTCTTGGCTGTTTACATGAAAGTTGTTTTAAATGTTATATAAACTCACTTTAGGCAGAAAATTTCCGTGACAATATTAGTTTATCTTTATTACTATAAAAACTGTTGTTTATTATATATCTTTCACGACAATTCGACATATAGGTCAACATTATTATTTATTACTGTGACATTGGAAATTACGATAAAGCAAAAGATTTTCATGAACGAGCGATAGAAATTCAAACGAAATCATTTGGACAAGACCATATTAGTATAGCGGTAACGTACAAAAATCTGGGTTTGGTCTATTGTGACATGAGACGAACGAGCTTTAGAAATCCAGACAAAAGTTTTTGGTTGTAACCATGGTAACACAGCTACAACGTAAAAACTGAGTTAAAATCAAAGACTTTAAAGCACATGTATATATAAGAAGCATCGCGTCGAAAAGGAAAAATGTTTTATTTTGTCCTAAAACAGTAATTTTACATCGCAAACTAAATTTTTATATCTTTTGATGAGTTTGATAATATTGACTACAAATCGAAAGTAGCTATCATGAATAAATACAATAACAATCACAGTGTGTATTATGGCTTTAAATAGCAATCTATTTATTAGCTTATTAAATTCTATTGCGAATTTTAATTCCTCATTTACCGGCGTGAAGGTTGGCCATTAAGCACATCTACCAAGAAAACGTGCTAAAGTCTGACGTGAAGAATAAGTTCATCATCAGAAGAAGGGGTTGAAACGAACAAGAAATATCGTCTTCATAAAAGTAAGTTTTTATGATATGTAAAATTTGGAAATTTAAAATAATATTGATTTATTAAGACACAAAGTCGTCAGACATAATTTCACTGACATATGAAAATTGATGCATTACAAAGTGACAAACTTGGAGATTGCAAACGTGTTTCTAACTACGTCGTCCTCAAAAAATTAATTCGCTATAATTCAAAATCGCAACTCAAATAAAGCTGAGAGTTTCAACGAATAAATCAGTTTCTTTCGTTATTCATAAAGTTCGTTCAAAAAAATCTGTTAAAACATAAGCATTGCATATACATACGGACCAAAACTATAGTTTGTTTCAACTTGAGAAATGTAAACTGCACTTTTATCTTAACAATGTGTATGAATTCGAAATTTGTTAAACCATCGATGACATACATTTGCTTGCTCGTAATGTATATAGTTAAGACGAGGAAGTGAGTCAGTGATATTACACAAAGAAACAAATTGAGACACTAGATAGAGCGTGAGTTTGTAATAAATGTCTCTATCAACATAAATATAATTTTTATTTACAAGAGTTATAGACTAATTTAAAAAATGTTCACTTCAAAGGAAAACATTTTTAGTGCTTGTCGCCGTTCTCTTTTTATGCATGATTGGCTTAAATATGTAAACAATTTTTTAAGAACATTTTTACGAAAAATTAACGTTTATATGAAATGATATGGACAAAAATCACACGAGATTTAGATGATCCACAAAAGATGCAAAGTTTAGAGCAGCCTATATCTGCAAATATCGATTTGTTGGTTCGATTGCTCAAATTTTCTCAATTTTGCACATTACGTGTATGGTTACTGCTGTGTTAATTATTGCTGTGTCGCGGAATTTACTTTATAATCAAAACGTATGAATATAGAAGTACTGGAGAAGAGAAAAAACGTTTTATATAGTTCTAACCAAGCATGCTATAGTTTGGGCAATGCAAAATTAAAGTTCTTATATTTTTTTAATAATTTGGTCACAAAACAGAACAAAAATGCATAAATAAAATTAAAAACATTAAGGATAACTAAATTCTTTTGCGCAGTTTAATTTGTCTCATTAATGTAAAGGTCAAAGTATAAAGTTTATTTTCAAAGATTATTGTGAAAGTGAAAGTTTAAGATAGCGATGGACAAACATACTAATCATGAAGTATAAAGTGACAAAAAATATATATAACAATATATTGTACATGTTTGTAAATGTAGATCGTCCAGGTTGGTATAGTCTTGAGAAGGACTGTTTTTGTTGTTGTTGACTGACGTTTCGACAACCTTAGCGGTAGTCATCTTCAGAGTCATCTTTTTGACACTGAAGATGACTACGGCTAAGGTTCTCGAAACGTCAATCAACAACAACAAAAACAGTCTTTGTCAGGACTATACTAACCTGGACGATCTACATTCACAAACATGTAACGATACTCCCGGGTTCAAACCATTTCATATATTGTACAATAAATAAATATCGTTGTACAAAAACGGTGAGTTATTGACGTTGTGGTCGTTCTCGCTATTCTTGGCTGTTTACATGAAAGTTGTTTTAAATGTTATATAAACTCACTTTAGGCAGAAAATTTCCGTGACAATATTAGTTTATCTTTATTACTATAAAAACTGTTGTTTATTATATATCTTTCACGACAATTCGACATATAGGTCAACATTATTATTTATTACTGTGACATTGGAAATTACGATAAAGCAAAAGATTTTCATGAACGAGCGATAGAAATTCAAACGAAATCATTTGGACAAGACCATATTAGTATAGCGGTAACGTACAAAAATCTGGGTTTGGTCTATTGTGACATGAGACGAACGAGCTTTAGAAATCCAGACAAAAGTTTTTGGTTGTAACCATGGTAACACAGCTACAACGTAAAAACTGAGTTAAAATCAAAGACTTTAAAGCACATGTATATATAAGAAGCATCGCGTCGAAAAGGAAAAATGTTTTATTTTGTCCTAAAACAGTAATTTTACATCGCAAACTAAATTTTTATATCTTTTGATGAGTTTGATAATATTGACTACAAATCGAAAGTAGCTATCATGAATAAATACAATAACAATCACAGTGTGTATTATGGCTTTAAATAGCAATCTATTTATTAGCTTATTAAATTCTATTGCGAATTTTAATTCCTCATTTACCGGCGTGAAGGTTGGCCATTAAGCACATCTACCAAGAAAACGTGCTAAAGTCTGACGTGAAGAATAAGTTCATCATCAGAAGAAGGGTTGAAACGAACAAGAAATATCGTCTTCATAAAAGTAAGTTTTATGATATGTAAAATTTGGAAATTTAAAATAATATTGATTTATTAAGACACAAAGTCGTCAGACATAATTTCACTGACATATGAAAATTGATGCATTACAAAGTGACAAACTTGGAGATTGCAAACGTGTTTCTAACTACGTCGTCCTCAAAAAATTAATTCGCTATAATTCAAAATCGCAACTCAAATAAAGCTGAGAGTTTCAACGAATAAATCAGTTTCTTTCGTTATTCATAAAGTTCGTTCAAAAAAAATCTGTTAAAACATAAGCATTGCATATACATACGGACCAAAACTATAGTTTGTTTCAACTTGAGAAATGTAAACTGCACTTTTATCTTAACAATGTGTATGAATTCGAAATTTGTTAAACCATCGATGACATACATTTGCTTGCTCGTAATGTATATAGTTAAGACGAGGAAGTGAGTCAGTGATATTACACAAAGAAACAAATTGAGACACTAGATAGAGCGTGAGTTTGTAATAAATGTCTCTATCAACATAAATATAATTTTTATTTACAAGAGTTATAGACTAATTTAAAAAATGTTCACTTCAAAGGAAAACATTTTTAGTGTTTGTCGCCGTTCTCTTTTTATGCATGATTGGCTTAAATATGTAAACAATTTTTTAAGAACATTTTTACGAAAAATTAACGTTTATATGAAATGATATGGACAAAAATCACACGAGATTTAGATGATCCACAAAAGATGCAAAGTTTAGAGCAGCCTATATCTGCAAATATCGATTTGTTGGTTCGATTGCTCAAATTTTCTCAATTTTGCACATTACGTGTATGGTTACTGCTGTGTTAATTATTGCTGTGTCGCGGAATTTACTTTATAATCAAAACGTATGAATATAGAAGTACTGGAGAAGAGAAAAAACGTTTTATATAGTTCTAACCAAGCATGCTATAGTTTGGGCAATGCAAAATTAAAGTTCTTATATTTTTTTAATAATTTGGTCACAAAACAGAACAAAAATGCATAAATAAAATTAAAAACATTAAGGATAATTAAATTCTTTTGCGCAGTTTAATTTGTCTCATTAATGTAAAGGTCAAAGTATAAAGTTTATTTTCAAAGATTATTGTGAAAGTGAAAGTTTAAGATAGTGATGGACAAACATACTAATCATGAAGTATAAAGTGACAAAAAATATATATAACAATATATTGTACATGTTTGTAAATGTAGATCGTCCAGGTTGGTATAGTCTTGAGAAGGACTGTTTTTGTTGTTGTTGACTGACGTTTCGACAACCTTAGCGGTAGTCATCTTCAGAGTCATCTTTTTGACACTGAAGATGACTACGGCTAAGGTTCTCGAAACGTCAATCAACAACAACAAAAACAGTCTTTGTCAGGACTATACTAACCTGGGCGATCTACATTCGCAAACATGTAACGATACTCCCGGGTTCAAACCATTTCATATATTGTACAATAAATAAATATCGTTGTACAAAAACGGTGAGTTATTGACGTTGTGGTCGTTTTTGCTTTTCTTGGCTGTTTACATGAAAGTTGTTTTAAATGTTATATAAACTCACTCTAGGCAGAAAATTTCCGTGACAATATTAGTTTATCTTTATTACTATAAAAACTGTTGTTTATTATATATCTTTCACGACAATTCGACATATAGGTCAACATTATTATTTATTACTGTGACATTGGAAATTACGATAAAGCAAAAGATTTTCATGAACGAGCGATAGAAATTCAAACGAAATCATTTGGACAAGACCATATTAGTATAGCGGTAACGTACAAAAATCTGGGTTTGGTCTATTGTGACATGAGACGAACGAGCTTTAGAAATCCAGACAAAAGTTTTTGGTTGTAACCATGGTAACACAGCTACAACGTAAAAACTGAGTTAAAATCAAAGACTTTAAAGCACATGTATATATAAGAAGCATCGCGTCGAAAAGGAAAAATGTTTTATTTTGTCCTAAAACAGTAATTTTACATCGCAAACTAAATTTTTATATCTTTTGATGAGTTTGATAATATTGACTACAAATCGAAAGTAGCTATCATGAATAAATACAATAACAATCACAGTGTGTATTATGGCTTTAAATAGCAATCTATTTACTAGCTTATTAAATTCTATTGCGAATTTTAATTCCTCATTTACCGGCGTGAAGGTTGGCCATTAAGCACATCTACCAAGAAAACATGCTAAAGTCTGACGTGAAGAATAAGTTCATCATCAGAAGAAGGGGTTGAAACGAGCAAGAAATATCGTCTTCATAAAAGTAAGTTTTTATGATATGTAAAATTTGGAAATTTAAAATAATATTGATTTATTAAGACACAAAGTCGTCAGACATAATTTCACTGACATATGAAAATTGATGCATTACAAAGTGACAAACTTGGAGATTGCAAACGTGTTTCTAACTACGTCGTCCTCAAAAAATTAATTCGCTATAATTCAAAATCGCAACTCAAATAAAGCTGAGAGTTTCAACGAATAAATCAGTTTCTTTCGTTATTCATAAAGTTCGTTCAAAAAAATCTGTTAAAACATAAGCATTGCATATACATACGGACCAAAACTATAGTTTGTTTCAACTTGAGAAATGTAAACTGCACTTTTATCTTAACAATGTGTATGAATTCGAAATTTGTTAAACCATCGATGACATACATTTGCTTGCTCGTAATGTATATAGTTAAGACGAGGAAGTGAGTCAGTGATATTACACAAAGAAACAAATTGAGACACTAGATAGAGCGTGAGTTTGTAATAAATGTCTCTATCAACATAAATATAATTTTTATTTACAAGAGTTATAGACTAATTTAAAAAATGTTCACTTCAAAGGAAAACATTTTTAGTGTTTGTCGCCGTTCTCTTTTTATGCATGATTGGCTTAAATATGTAAACAATTTTTTTAAGAACATTTTTACGAAAAATTAACGTTTATATGAAATGATATGGACAAAAATCACACGAGATTTAGATGATCCACAAAAGATGCAAAGTTTAGAGCAGCCTATATCTGCAAATATCGATTTGTTGGTTCGATTGCTCAAATTTTCTCAATTTTGCACATTACGTGTATGGTTACTGCTGTGTTAATTATTGCTGTGTCGCGGAATTTACTTTATAATCAAAACGTATGAATATAGAAGTACTGGAGAAGAGAAAAAACGTTTTATATAGTTCTAACCAAGCATGCTATAGTTTGGGCAATGCAAAATTAAAGTTCTTATATTTTTTTAATAATTTGGTCACAAAACAGAACAAAATGCATAAATAAAATTAAAAACATTAAGGATAATTAAATTCTTTTGCGCAGTTTAATTTGTCTCATTAATGTAAAGGTCAAAGTATAAAGTTTATTTTCAAAGATTATTGTGAAAGTGAAAGTTTAAGATAGTGATGGACAAACATACTAATCATGAAGTATAAAGTGACAAAAATATATATAATATATTGTACATGTTTGTAAATGTAGATCGTCCAGGTTGGTATAGTCTTGAGAAGGACTGTTTTTGTTGTTGTTGACTGACGTTTCGACAACCTTAGCGGTAGTCATGTTCAGAGTCATCTTTTTGACACTGAAGATGACTACGGCTAAGGTTCTCGAAACGTCAATCAACAACAACAAAAACAGTCTTTGTCAGGACTATACTAACCTGGACGATCTACATTCACAAACATGTAACGATACTCCCGGGTTCAAACCATTTCATATATTGTACAATAAATAAATATCGTTGTACAAAAACGGTGAGTTATTGACGTTGTGGTCGTTCTCGCTATTCTTGGCTGTTTACATGAAAGTTGTTTTAAATGTTATATAAACTCACTTTAGGCAGAAAATTTCCGTGACAATATTAGTTTATCTTTATTACTATAAAAACTGTTGTTTATTATATATCTTTCACGACAATTCGACATATAGGTCAACATTATTATTTATTACTGTGACATTGGAAATTACGATAAAGCAAAAGATTTTCATGAACGAGCGATAGAAATTCAAACGAAATCATTTGGACAAGACCATATTAGTATAGCGGTAACGTACAAAATCTGGGTTTGGTCTATTGTGACATGAGACGAACGAGCTTTAGAAATCCAGACAAAGTTTTGGTTGTAACCATGGTAACACAGCTACAACGTAAAAACTGAGTTAAAATCAAAGACTTTAAAGCACATGTATATATAAGAAGCATCGCGTCGAAAAGGAAAAATGTTTTATTTTGTCCTAAAACAGTAATTTTACATCGCAAACTAAATTTTTATATCTTTTGATGAGTTTGATAATATTGACTACAAATCGAAAGTAGCTATCATGAATAAATACAATAACAATCACAGTGTGTATTATGGCTTTAAATAGCAATCTATTTACTAGCTTATTAAATTCTATTGCGAATTTTAATTCCTCATTTACCGGCGTGAAGGTTGGCCATTAAGCACATCTACCAAGAAAACATGCTAAAGTCTGACGTGAAGAATAAGTTCATCATCAGAAGAAGGGGTTGAAACGAGCAAGAAATATCGTCTTCATAAAAGTAAGTTTTTATGATATGTAAAATTTGGAAATTTAAAATAATATTGATTTATTAAGACACAAAGTCGTCAGACATAATTTCACTGACATATGAAAATTGATGCATTACAAAGTGACAAACTTGGAGATTGCAAACGTGTTTCTAACTACGTCGTCCTCAAAAAAATTAATTCGCTATAATTCAAAATCGCAACTCAAATAAAGCTGAGAGTTTCAACGAATAAATCAGTTTCTTTCGTTATTCATAAAGTTCGTTCAAAAAAAAATCTGTTAAAACATAAGCATTGCATATACATACGGACCAAAACTATAGTTTGTTTCAACTTGAGAAATGTAAACTGCACTTTTATCTTAACAATGTGTATGAATTCGAAATTTGTTAAACCATCGATGACATACATTT